ATGTTCAATGTTAGTTTTTTTCTTTATTTATTATAAAAATGGGCTCTTAAAAATCAGTCTCACCAAAGTGCATTGGTGGAAAATATTTCGACATTGATTGGCAATTCCAGCTATGCTTTTTTTCACCAGATCACCTACTAAAATTGATCTAGGCCCCGAGCAGACCAAAAATAGAGCGATTTAATTTTTCTTTTAAGTCAGCACGCTTCTACACACAATAGATAATCCACTATTGAAAATTGAGAACATCCTTTATGATGTAGTGAAAATAAATCAATTTAGTGAAGTTTTTAGTTGTAAAAAAAAACATTTTTATTTGTTAGATCGGTAACACTTTGAAAAGTTATAATCTATTGAATATCAAACGAAGCTGGTACTATTTTATAATAATTAATTTTTTCGAGCGACATCACATCTATTCTCTATCTATCTATTCATATATCTTTTATTGTTAAATAATGCTATTGAATGATTGGCGCATTAAAAGTTGAATTAAGATAAATCGTCTCGAAAAGATGATTTAATTCTATTTTAACGTTACTAGCGATCTCATTGGTTAATTCTGTTTTAAAGTTTTTGGTGTGTTTGGGATCCTACTGACTGATCAAACGAATGTGCTTATTTTTTACTGGTTATTTCTAAATGCACTATCTGAATATTTTTTGAGAACTGGGACATATATTAAGATTTATATATATTCAGAATCAGCGTAATTTAAGTAATAATATCTGATAAATATTATGCTGGCCATTTTTAGAAAACGAATAGATGACGTTAGGTGACATTTGTTCATGATGGAGGGTTCAGTGGCAACAGAACCAATGAAACTAAGAATACTCATGATGTCGTTAGTGAACAATACGCATAGAAATAAAAATGAAAAATGACCACGATGAAAATATTATATAAAAATTTTATAAGCTATGCCTAACTTTTTTGCGTAGTTATTTTTTTATTTGGCCCAGTTCTCAAAACAAACTGAACAAGTGCATCAGTGGATTCATTTTATAAATGATGAAACAAACCATTCACATCAGTCAGTAGATCAAATAAACTATGAGTCTCTCATCATTAGCAAGCGATCCTGATTTACAAAAATTTGTTGCTGCTAAAGAACTTGAAAATCAATTAACAAGTCAAGTAATAAAGAAAAAAAACATTTCAATTAAATTAAATCAATAAATAATTTTCGTATTTAGGTTCATCATTTAACAAATATTTGTTTTGATAAATGTGTTGAATCAAGTGGTAGTCTCAGCGATTTATCGACAAGACAAATGACATGTTTACAAAATTGTGTTGAACGTTTTCTTGATTGTACGATGTTGATTACCAATCGAACGGTTCAACGTATCCAACAAGGACGTTAGAATTAGTTGTGTCTTTTTTTTTTTTTGTTCTTACTTTAGTATAAACAAGATTTGATTTAGCAATGATAATTTAGTATTCTTTCATTGCAGATTTGTTATATTAGAAAAAAAACAGACAATGGCATTTCGTAATTTAACACGTGGTTTATTTCAAATAGTTACAAATCGAAGATTTTATTCGTCGATTCAACAACAAATTTTTATTCGAAAACCAATATTAACTAATCAACAATTTCGATCATTTTCATCCGTAATAATACAAAATGATGCTTATAAAGATTTAAATAAATTTCTTGAAAAAGAAATTCAATTAGAAAAAAGTGCACAAAAACATTCAAGTCAATTGCCAACTATTCAAGGTTTTGAGGTTTGTTTTATAATAATAATAACATATACATCCAAGTTTTTGTTCTTACGCACATTTATTAACAAAATTATTTAAGAATAGAGTTAATTAATAGAAAAATAACATTGAACATTTTCAACTGTTCAATCATTAGAGATTATTGCCATTTGATCAGTCATGATGAGTAATACGAAAGAAGTCTGTTTTGGTTTGGTTTTCCGATCTTTTTACTTCAATTTTACCTTATGAGCATAGAATCGTTAAGCATTTGAACGATCAAATTTCGTCCATAATTAGATCGTATAGTTATTAGAAATATTGCAAAGTTTGAGTCGGTACAATCGTATCCTTGCCAAGATATTTTATGACAAGCTGATATCTCGCTGCTAGTCGGTTTGTCATAGCCGAAAAATGTACGGTGTTTTTAGTGAGTATAGAATCTATCTATGAAAAAGCTTTTAGCTGTAAATTCGATCATGTAGGTTATTAGCGATGAATTGACGGAAAGCATCGAAAAAAAGATATTAGCTCAATCCCTGTAAGATTAAAATGTGTAACACGATTATAGTTGTTGTTGCTAATCACAAGAGGATTGTTTTCTTCTATCTACCTTAGAATATATTTCTTCACTCTCCTTTTACTTAATCCTTCACAAATACAATAAAGAAGTAGTTAGTATATTGTAACGAACCGTTATTGATATATGATCCATTTAAATAGCGTTTCATAAAAAAGTAGAAAAACATTGAAAACCAAAATATAAAAGATAAAAACAGCGAAAGAGAGTATTTCGAACAAAGAATGGAAAGAAGGACGTGCGAGTGTTGATCTCAATCTTCTCTACATCCATACCTCTCTGGGATATCGAAACTTAATTTAAAGTTAAGTTGAAAGGACCACTTCTAATTGAGAATATTCCTTTACAAATAAAAGACTTTTCTTCTCATTGTCAATGTCATTGAATGTCTTCGCTGGAATACTTCAGCTTGATAGTGTATAGAAGAAAGAGTGATACAGAAGAAACTGTTAATCGTAGAGAATGATTTCTAGTGATTAGTTTGTAATAAATCGGAAAAATTTTAATCGATTCAAATACACGTTCTCTTTCTATTAGATTCGATGTATAATGAAAAAAGTGTGATATCAATTTTCATATTTTGGATGTTGAAGTCACATTTATTGACCTTTGTAATATGCTCATAAAGGATTTCAAATATTGAAAATTCATTCTAGATTTACTTCTCTTTCTTCGATTAATAATTTAATTGTTTCGAATTATAAAAACAGAAAAACTTCGCTTTAACATATGTTCATTGAAAATATTTTCATTATATATAATAGGTTCAATGCGATGGTCCTGAAATAACATTAACACGTAAATCAGGAAAAGAAAAACTTACTGTTAAACTTAATGTAACAAATACAGTAAATGCAACTGAATCTGATCAAGATATGAGTTTAGACGAAGCAGGACGACAACCATCAGGTGGTGAAACATCTCAACCATCATCACAATTGAAATCACGACCAACATTTACTGTTGATATTAATCATGGTGCACAAACGTTATCATTTTTATGTTCATATTTACCACAAGATTATCCAAATGTACCACCAGAACAATATCAAAGTGGAGAAAATGATCAACAACAACAACAACAACAACAACAACAACGAGGAGAAATTGATAATGAAAATGAGAAATTAGAAGATTTTCAAATTGATGAATTTGCTATTCATGATGGAGATTGGAACGATAATGTTTATAGTGCTGATTGTGCTGTTATTGATGGAGAACTTTATGATAAATTACTTAATTTACTTGAAGAACATGGAATTGGCGAAGGTTAGTAAATTTATAGCATAGTTCACTATACTATTTCAGAAAATATTTCCAAATGATGAAAAATATTCTTGTTATGACTTGCATCATCCTCAGATGCAGTCATAAGGATATTTTCCTCTTTACTTACAGTAGTATACACATGTACTTGTGTTCTTCTTTATTTCTGATATTATTGAGTCATGCTCTATGGATTTTACCTTTTCTGTCATATAGGTTGGTTTTTTTTCTTTCGTGTTATTCTATAGATGCTTCTTTTTTTTTTGATAGTTAATGGGGTTTTCCCCATGTTTTATTTTTTGTATATATTGTTACGCGTATGTTGTGAAGAGAGAGATACACAAGAGATAGTTATAGTTATACAGATAAAGTACAAGTGGAATTAAGATTTTACAATTCTACTTTAAAACCTATTATTTTTCATACACATTTTTCAATTTCTTTTTTTGTTTTCTTGTTTCAATTCTTTATTGACGACTAAGAAGTATATCAATATTCTCCTTAACTGTCGAACTCTTTCGTGTCATTTGAGATTATTCAAATTTCGTTTTATGGCTCGACACATCAAACAGTCTGATGTTTTCACGACTAACTTTTCTCGTTCAGGTTTGTTTCTTTACAAAGTTTCAAGTTGCAATTCAAATGTTAGTTTTCATGATGCTTTTGAGATGGAGCCACGACAATTGAAATGCAATTTACCACTAGAGAAACTTTCCTCGTCATTAATCATTTCTTCGAGCGCCCTTCTAGTTCAATTAAAATACAATTTTTTATATGATGATGCTTATGACTTCATCTTTCGTTTCTGAATGTTTTCCTCTTAAATAATACAGTTCAGTAGAACATATAAGTATTTTCTGTATAGATTCTTACTAATGAAAACAAACTCTGAAGATAGGTTTTCCCAAGAAAATGGTTAAATGCTAAGAATAGTATTTTATCGTAAGAGAGACTAATCGTAAAAGTATGTATTGCAGTATTAAAACTTTGAAAAGAAAAGCTTGAACATATATCTACGTCATGGTTCATCGTAAGGTGGTGAGTACAAAATTGAACTACACGAATATTGAATAGCTTTCAAGACCATACTATAAATACAGTTTACTTAAGAGATAAATAATTTAAAATAACTTCGGTGCTTCGTTAAAAATTATAAATTTTGATTTCTAAAACAACAAATATTTTCTTTTCTATTTTAGAATTTGCCAATCAACTGATAGATTTTTCTACAGCCTATGAACATGGCCAATATATTGGTCTACTTGAAAAGTTACAAAAATTTTGCAAAAAATAGAACATAAACACTAGATTATTCTCGCTGCAATTCATGTTCTCGAAATAAAATCTAACATGATCTATCATCTTCATGTGAAGAATAAAAGTTGATCTTTTTTTTTCGTTTTGTAGATACAAATAACCATGTTGATGATTTATTTTGTTATTTGCACGTTATTTCTTGCGCCAAGAATTTTTGCTTCATCTGCACCACGTATTATTTATTCAGCTGTTATCTATAATGTACAGGATTCACCAATTCAGTGTAGTGTAATATGGTCACAGCCACCACCAGATCCTACATTAGAAAGTGGTCTATTTACTATTGAAAAACATGACTATTATATAGTAAAGAGCAAAGTAATTCAACTGGAAGGTTGGGAAGCAAATGGAATAATACAACAAATTCGTTGTGGAAATTTACTACTTAGTGCTCCATTTGATAAAGTTACGTCACCAGAAAAAAATTGGAAATTTCGTGTTGAATCAGATGAGATTATCTCAGTTGGACCAAGTTCATCTCATACTGATAATTAATCATTTAATCGTTTTTTCTAACTATTTGACATCAGGAACACCATATATGTATATATCAGATAGAGGGAGGTAATTCTCTTTTATTATCTTTATTGGAGATTCGCGAATCATCGAGTTACATCCTCCTTAATTGTCCGATTGTGAGATGGTGCTAGAGTTTTCGGCGAAAGAATGGTGGTACGGTATCAAGAAATGAAGTGGTTTTCCAGATTACTGACTTTTTAAGGATTTTTTTTAATAGAGCTAAATTCATAAAACATGAGTGAGTTTTCTGTATTGAGAAATAGTCTATATATATATATTATATCATATCACAGAAATGAAATTGAAAGTGTAATATATGTCCGCACAGAAGAATAAGAAGTTTGTATAGGTTCATCAACAACTGACTTGCGTTGTATACCACCATATTTTAGCGGTTACTTCTAAAATAAAATGTGTTTCATGATTGATGAACTGAAATCTATCTGCTAAGTATTTATTAAACGTTTTGTTTTGTCCGAACATCTATAAATAACTGACCCAGTTGAATATATACATTTTCCCATTAGTCATACTTTAAGAACAGGTTGAGAAACCAATCGATAATCGAGAGTGAGCTATTGCAAAACAGTCTGATCGATATGAAAGTGAGTCGAGACAAATCGATTTTAAGATCTTATTATATTCAGTTCCAAAAATAGCCGTTATAAATTTGAATTAAACTTAGAAATGTAAAGTTTTTACTTTTTCAGGAGAATCTATTGCAACAAGCACTTTGTATCATAGTTTAATATGTTATACATTCCATCGTAAAATGCGACAGATTTTATATTATTATGTTCTTATAAGTCAGTATTACGATAATATGTCACGATCATTGTATGCAATCTTCATGTACGAAGACAGTAAGCGAGCGTTTTTGTCTCCGTAAATCATCGAATTTGTTTGTGTAGAATATAGTGATATGTTACCGTCATATAGAGCCACCTAAACCACTGCATTTCTTGATATATAAGTGTTTACGATTGTATATGTACAGCATGGATGCTTGAAAAATTTGCAAAATTGTCACCGATCAAAAGATTGTTCTGATGAAGCCAAGCAGGTACTGGTGACATGACTTTTAGATTTCTTGCGAATCTTTGATATATATTTTCTTTCTTCTACTTGGTATATATATATATACATATATGTATGAATTGTTCCTTTTTTGTTTTTCATTATCTTATGTTGCTCATACTGTTTATTCTCATACTTTTTATTTTTATGAAAGTTAAGTTCTCATTTATGTTTCTCTTCAAAATAAAAGAGACGGAAAGAAACTTAACAAAAACTGCACTAGTCGATGTTTTGTATGATAGCATTAGTATAATCATGGAGCAAGCACATTTTAATTAGAATTTTATCCGATCTTTCTAATAAAGATTTTGAACAAACATTCATCACAATTCTTGAGTTTCATCGATTAAAAATGAAAAGTTGAAAATATCTATCCTGAATAATAATATTGGAGACATGAGTACAGTTGGTTACGGTTTAGATGAGTAGTTAAAATAAATGTCTGATCAGGACTTAAACGATCCATATTTTCTTTTAAAATGACAAACAAAATCAATCTTCTATTCACTTACAATTATGTGAAATACAAAAACTGAGTGATTATGGAAATGCAGACCATTGATTAAAAAGTTTTAATTTAATATTTTAAGCAACAGAACCACATATCATCAATTACATTCTTTCTTTTAACAGTTTTCTTCAACATGTTGATTATAAAATATCAAATCAAAAGCAATCAACATCATTAAATCCATCATCCATGTGCTTGAATCAACAAGGAGTTTGTTGATTGTATAGAAATTGTTGTACACTGTCTTCGAAATCTAACATTAATAAATAGTCTCGAACAATGATCGAAACTTGCTGATCAATCGAAATAAAGTGTGTTCAAATGATTAAAAGAAATTGAACACGTAATACATGCGTTTGATATTTTTGATAATGAATATCTATTTTTAGCATAGACATTATTTGTACAAAAATTAATAAGTTCACTTAAACTTTCAGAAGAAGTCGATATTCTCATTCAATTAAGGCTACCATGTTACAAATTTCAAATAGAGTACGCAATATTCTCAAGGGAGGTACACGTGGCTTACAATTTTTTTGTTGAATGGAATATAATGATGGAGTACACAAATTCTAAATAACATAATTGGATAAGAACATTTTTTAGAAGAGCTGTATGCGTAATGATTTTTGTTTATTGTTCAAAAAAAAGGTGGGATCATAAATAAACCATTTTTCGATACAATTCTACCACAATAATTAATAAAGACCGATCCCAGTGAAATCAATATTATCTATTCATCCTAATTGACTAAGTCTTATAAGAAACATATGTGCATTTTTGTTTTTTTACCAACAGTCTTCGATCAGTTTCAATCATTAGTTCATAATCATAGAAGATGCTTTAATCTCGTTTTCAATAATTTCTCGATGTTCCGTGCCATTTTAAATATAGAATTGACATGCTAACGAAGAATTCGAGTGCGAACAATAAGGGGTGTGGGTGTGGCTGTGGGTGTGGAGTGTGGATGTGGAGTATGGGTGTGGTGTAGGTGTGGGTGAAAAGAAGATAGATACTCATACCTATACTCACACTTACACCCACACCCTCTTTTTTACGCAAATAAAATTCATTAGTATAAATTCGATTCGTTTCGAGCAATTGCGAAAGTTATGAATTTAGAATACTTGATGAACGAGTTCTTTCTCGATCTATTCGAGTATCTCAGTATCTCTGATTTACTTCGTGCCTTTCAAAATCTTAATTTTCGTTTTAATACTCTTCTTCGGGCTTATGTTCAAATTCATGGTATTGATTTTCGATCAGTATCCAAAAATGATTTTGGGATTATTTGTCAATAACATCTTCCACTAATGGTAGATAAAATTAGCACAATTCGTTTATCAGAAAATCATGATGTACCAAATCAGATACGTTGTTTTTTTAATTATGGTTTTTCTTTTTCATAATTTGCTCGATTACAATCCTTATTACTCTATTCAATTTCATCGAAGAAAATCATGCAAACGAGTATACTACAATTGCTACATCTACATGATTTGACTGATTTGACTATAGTAACGAATTCGTTGACATACGATCAAAGCGAAGCTGTCTTACAAGCGAATACTGTTTGGAGTCTACCTAAACTTATTTATTGTTACTTAGATGTGGGTGATTTTTATGGATCAACAGTAGCATCATTGTCTCTAAAACATATTTTCATTCGACGTTTGTCATGTCAGTTTAATGCATTCAATCATTTGTTCAAAAATACACCACATCTTCAACATTTTTCTGTATTATGCTTACATTTTACTTTCATGAATCAAGATATACCATCAAATCTTCCATTAATAACTAGGCTAAATATTGGATTTGATAAAATACAAATAAACGTAGTATTGAAATTTTTACAAAGGCTACCTAATTTATATCACTTAATTGTTCGTACATGGGGTACATACATAGATGGAGAATAGTGGGAATATATTATTCGTAATTATTTACCAAAATTGAAAAAATTTCGATTGCACATGAACTTTCAATATCGGAGAGGAATCGATCTATTGTTGCATACCTTTCAAAGTTCATTTTGGCTTGTAGAGCATGACTGGCCTATTCAATGTAATTGGAAATTAGATAACAAAAATATTAGCGTTTACACTTTGCCATATAGCTTTCATGCTTTTAATTTTGCTTATCCAATATTATCAAAGTCAACGAATTCTACCAATGATAACGATTACTGTTGGTCATACGATTGTGTACATCGTCTTATGTTCAAAAATCGATTTATCAAGATTCCATTTTAACTAACATACAATTTATTCAACTTCGTCACCTATCTCTAAGTTCTCCGGTAGTCGATGAGTTTTAGTCGATTGTTCCAACTTTAGATGAATTAACTTCTCTCGAAGTATATTCATATAATCATCATGAATTCTGTCAAGATCAACTACAAACATTGCTTGATCGAGCACCTCGTCTCTATTCTATCATTATCCGTGAAAATCCATCGCTATTATTCAAGAGTGTTTCAGTTCGTGAACTCAATTTACGATATTCTAGTAAAGCGTATGCAGTTAAAGAATGTGTTGCATTGAGTAGTTCTCCATTAGGCATACAATGTAAAACATTTATAATCAATGTCAAAAATCGAGCATGTATACTTGAATTAATGAATCGAATGCCGAATCTTCTACCTTTGATTCTTCAATGTTTAGATGAAAAAAAAAGATATAAAATCATTTGAGGCAAGCGATGAAATTATCGAATGGTTTCGTGATCGACTATCGCAATCATCCACAATCTATAGATACGATGATGTTCATAAATGGATTGGACTGTGGATTCATAGATAAACAGGAAAATACATTTTCTTGTCATACTATGCTTTGTAAGAAAAAAAAGGTATCCACTATTCTCTCTTCACGTCACTTAATATAAAAAAATATGATAGTATCGATTATAAAATGCATATAACAAGATTTTTTTTCCAGAGCGTCGACTCTTTTCGTTCGATACTCTGCTCAATCTAATGAATCTTGAATATATGATGCTACTCTTTCGTACAGGATATTAAACATAGTTCAAGCAATAAAATCTTGCTTTCAATTTTACATTGAGATACTCATACGCATATTCGAATACATCAGGATGTTGGTGTAGTCCTTCTATTTACTCACACCCGTCTGCATCATATTTCAGATTTGAATAGTATTGGAATTGTGCTAATAGCTAGTTTATTATTCTGATTTATTTAATTGTTTTCATATTGCTCACTAACATTCTAGATTAGCTGGATTAGTATTGAAATAGATATGTTGCGTTGTAAAACCACCAAGTTCATCATTGAGTTTCGGTATACATGTTGGAACAGGAATAAGAAACGTCTAAATTAAGAATCCAAAAAAATTAACGACGAGCAATGGCAGAGAATACTTACTGAAATGGCCGGCGTCAATACTCGTTCAGTGCGTCGTGAAAAATTGAGATTAGCAACAATAGCCCACCCGAAGCCGCTTAATTGACCCTTGTTATACATGAGAAAACTCGGAAAAAAATCAGAACAATTCTTGTTCAATCGATTATCGTGCCAGTAATGAATACCTTAAATTTTAAATGATCATGGTGAGCAGAAAAAAATGATGACTGAGAGAAAAAAAAATAATCACCCATTGTTTTGAAACAGCCACCTTTAACCCATTTTGTTTTACCCATATCATTTTCCCATAAAGGTAATTCAATGGAATCGATCATTGGATTCGTTCCATTCTGAAGAAAGAGTCCTGTTCCTGTTCCTTCACGTTCGAGCTGTGAAAGAGTTCGTCCAACCGTACAGATTAAAGCTTAAATCATAACAACAATAATGAATAGAAAGAAAAAGAAAAAACGAACGAGGTTCAATAAAATAAGCAGTCAACGTATACATTGCGATGCCATTGATCATTTCCGTATTGAACATTTTTTGAGTACCAAACGAATAATGATTGCCTTTGATACTTGATCGGGGAAACTTTATAGAAGCAGAATTCCATGGAGAGAAAAAGAAATAAGACTACTCACAGCAATTTGAACACCAGCAATAGTACCTTGTTTGTCGAATATAAGAATGGCTCCGGTATCATTACCTTTCCAATAGCGATAACCGATCGTTGTTTTACCTAAATTCAATCAGTGATCAATTAATAATTATTGTTTCAGAGTCTAATGAAATGGATAATGCCCAGCAATTAGAGGTGAAATTGAGACTGTTCTTATTCGGATACCTCGTGGTTTGCTGCTAAATACTATTTACATGTTCCACAAATTGAATTCATTCTAATCTACTTCGAATGTTTTACTTTATTGCTATTATTGAGAAAAATCTTCTGTGAAATTCTCCAATAGATTGTCAATGATTGCTTGAATCGTGTTGATTTTGGGTAGATCAGATAAAAATTCGTTCTATTACATACTTACCAACACACTGTTCTCCGAGAGTATCTAGCAATGGTTTGTACTGTTCTTGTAATGCCTGTTGTACTGTTCGTGGTTGTCTAACGTAGACTTCGTCGTTTGATACTGATGGATCAGGACCCCATCTGATCTTTAATGTGTCCCATTCAATTTTTCGTTTGATTCCATCAGATACGGATAATGATTGTACATCTTAACATAAGATAAGAGAGAAATTTTACTCCCTAATATTATCATTTCAACCCACTAGTAACAAAAGCCAACATAAGAACAAAACTACTTGGAATCATTGTTTGTTATTTTTTAATATCGGGTATGACAATAAATAAAAGACTCTTGTTATGTATATATATTATTGCCAAACAAAGTATCTTGTGATGATGACAGTGCAAAAAATACTAATCTATTGCTCAGACATTAAAAAGAACCATTCTAAAAGAGCACATACTACTTAATTCCAAGACAAATAGCAGCAATAAATGATTACATAAAAAACCGATATAATCATTTGAACGGGTATAAACAAAACACAAACCTATGTAAAAGTCCAGGAGTAGAAACGATAATAAGTACAAGATAAATGAGATTCAATAATGCTTATTACGAAGCTTTCTGCTTAAATCTATATTCATCTGTTCTAAAAAACTTATCAACTTCTATACATATCGTCGAATGAAGAGTCAAGAAAATTCGATGGCTAGCAAGGATGCATGAAGCAAAAATGCATTGTTTTTTGAGCAACGCTATCCATGAGCAACTTGTTCGCAAGCGACAAGTAGGTCAAAACTGCACTACAGCCTTTAGCAACCAAATAATATATTTTTGTCACTATTTTATCTGTTGGTAATTCATCAATCACATGTTGTGTCCTGAAGAACAAAGTACGATCGATACTTTTTGAGATTCTAGGGTATTGTTTGAAACAAATTCTTCTACTTAACTTTTGAAAAGAGACTCATTATTATGGTCTTTCAATGGTTGAAGTATTTATGTGCATGAGTTGACAAAGTTCGAACATGCTTGTGCCATCAGAAAAATACTAATTATGAAGATGAAGCGCTATGTCGTGCAAAATTCATTCGATTTCTCTGTAGATTAAGGCGGAACTCTGGATTGTGACTAACTTAGAGTAAGACGAGATTACACCAAATATGTTCTCCGACACAATTGTAGGTATGAGTACGTGTATTATATTAGTAGTGGTACATTTACAAGTGTTCGCAGGGTATGGATTGGTACTGTGTGTTCATGCAAGTGAAAAGAAGTATTGATAACATTGACTTACGATAGGCACGACTGTTACTTTAAAGAAAAAAGAAATCTCGAATTAATAACATGTTTTAGCCTTCTAAATCAAGCAGTTGCATTTACACGTCTGAAAATTTCAGAGCAACTTTTGTTTCAATCATTTCAATCTGAATTAGTATGAAAAAGAGCTCAGCCTATTGAAACATGATATTCACTCAAATCAACGATTCGAAACAAGAATCAACACAAAAAATTCAGGTCACAACGGAATTAACTTGTGTCAAGCTGTCTCAATTACTTGAAGTGAATACCAATCGGCTTCAAACAGGTTTTACTCGAATTTCACAGCAAATTCAATCTTGTCTCGATTCGAAACATTCTGAGAATGATATTAATCAATGGATAGATGAGATAAAAAAATGACGACAGAATATTCCAAATGCATTGGAGTTTGCAAAATTTCTATCCGATCCCAAAATCAAATCCATTCAATTTATAAGGGTCGCAGAAAGTGATGATTATCATAAAGCGGCAGTCAATAATGATACAATAATGGCATCCTCAGTAGATTCTTTTCTGTCGTCTTTTATGTGTTTCTCTTATGCTGTTAGTAAAATATTGAACAATTTGCAAAAATAGCTGGTGATACTAAACTCGATGAAAACTATGTGATCGCTAAGATCAATACTCACTCGGCGAGAATTCGCGGTGCCAAATTGTGCAAATCAAATTCGATTCCGCATTGAACAATTGAATAACAATAGCATTTTTATTGGAATTATTTCATCGAATGAACAGATGACCACAACTGTATTTAAGCTATCGTTCAGTTAGGCATGTACCGAGCCCAGACCGAGCTACTCGGGCTTGGTCGACTCGGGCTCGGTATGGCTCGGGCTCGGTCGAAGTCTCACTCTCTCAGGCCTGGTCGGCCTAGAGCTAGAGCTCAGTCAGGCAAGATCGACTTTGGTCGGGCTCGGACTGAGTCAGACTCCGGTGGTCAGATTCAATCTATCTCGATTTATCTTCGTGTCGGTTTCGTAAATTTTGTCTTCTCATAAGTATTTTATTTATTTATTTTTGTTATGCATCAAGAGCGCTGCGTGGCTTGTACTTGAAATTTATTCTTACACTATAATAGGTGTATTCAAAGTAAGTACAGTTCAAG